CTTAATATAGGGTTATTGGAAAAGAAGAGCTTACAAGAAAACACCTAGTTCATTGGAACTACGGGAAGGAAGTACTAACCACAAATGTCGCGCCATCAACACAAAAAGTTTGCAAAAATGTTATAGCGTATTGCCTCAGGCGATTTCCGCAGTGCAAACAGATCGCCGGCGGGCACGTTGAGCATCTTCGTCGTTGACGGGCGTACCACCGTTTTTTGGTTTTTACATTAATATACCTATTCACCGTTATCACTGATCTCTGGACTGCATTGGTGCACGGGCAAATGGTGCCAAATGTGCGTCGGGCCAGAATGTAATCCACGAGCAAAGTTGGTTCGACAGCGCTTAGATTGACCACTTCTATGTGACTTGGTTCACAATGGTAATACTTGTTTTTCATGATTATGTCTAAGGCATACAGTGTGGATGTGAACGAGATGGTGATGTGAGAATAGGCTATGCGGTGTCGTATTTGTATTCTGTTCTTTGGAGTACAGACTCTGGCTTGGAGTGAGTGCTTCCACACAATAGCATACCAGTTACACAAAGGGGAATGAAAGAGGGTCGAACAGTGTTTGAATAAGAATACAGACCGTGAAAGTGTGGTTTATTGAGGCTTTTGAATTTGATATTCGGTGCTTGCAGCAGAATGTGTCAGAAAAGCTATCAAAGGGATAGCGGGCTTGTGGTGCACAGTTATGCGGGAGAACCCACATGCGTGTGTTGTGATCCAAAGATATGTCGTTGAATTTTTCCAGCCAATGAGCTTCGCGCTTTGTGTAATGCTGGATTTTCAGTATCGGTGAGGATGAGATATTGCTATAAATTCATCGTTTCTTTTCCGTTTTAATGGAATATTGGCTGATCTGTGAATATTTTGGAAGGAACGCACGTTCCCGCCTGAAACAAATTGGGCTGCGTAATCACGTTTGTTTTCGGTAACTGCGATCATTACTGTGACGGTAGAATACCCTATACGACACCCAGTAGGCTTTAGACGGTATAGCTTTTCAAGATCTCTTCCTCAAAACGCCACATTTCATATTTACTAGTCCTAATTGTAAGGAGCGCTTATTTTGCTAAGGTAGGTTGTTTGAAAGTAACTTGCCGTGTGCAAGAGCGTTGCAAATAACCCTTTCGCCATCAGCTGGGATAACACTAAACACCTATTACACACTCTATGCTCAGGCAAATTACGCCTGTCCTAACACCATCTCTATTTTACCGCAGTGGCCGGTTAGTGAGGCACTGCTCTTTCGATTCTGCACGCCTGCCTCCGTTCCAGCCAGCCTGACACACCGTATGTATCGACGGGTGAACTTGTCCTGTGGCTTGTCTAACATGACTCCAACTCAACCATCCGCGCCTGATCCAGTCTTCAGGACTTACGACACTGGCAAATACACATGTACCCACATGCATGCATACGGTCCTTATACACGCACGTGACGTTGTGAGACATTTTGAGATAGAATAAGACCTACTATTGAACAGTTGATAATTTATTGCGCTCTACCTCACACCCGAAGTAATGACGCTTTGTCCCGCATCAACAGAGTAGAAGGGGCCAGCATTTTCACGTGCTGTATTAGCATCAGCTGGGACAGTTTGTCGGTGCTTTCCTGCCAATTATAATCCATTGTTCTTTTTTTCCAACTTTGGATTTTCGATACAGTGACGGAGGATCATCAAACACCATTCGTCTCGAACTTCTTTTGGCCATCTCGATCGTCGGACAGTGCTACTTTGACACAGTCTTCTAGTGGTACTGCGGTGGCGTTTCCATCCGCTTGGTTTATCCAGCACTTTTCTCGTTTTGCTTGTCTTGGTCAGCTAGCCGATTCTCATTAATTGCGATAAAATGAAATCTGTGGCGCGCTAGTTCCATCGCGATCACTGCAGTTCGTCTTTCGGTGCGCTCGCTGGTGTTGTGGTCAATTATGGTGTTCACATTTCAGCGCTCGATATTGAGCGCTTTGCTTGGAGACTCATGATTACAGTAGCGTACCATCACGCACGTGGTCACTTGGATTGGTGGAATTACTCAGCTAGGTGAAATGGGGACGAGGGAGTATGTGCAATGGAAGAAGATTGAAGGGAGGCATAAGCATTAGCATGTTTCACTTATACACCCAGTGGTAGGCAACAAATGATGTGAATCTTCTTCTAGTGCCACTGTGCGACGACTGATGTAGAATAAGCCTAGCCTAGTTGTATTATTTCATGGATTGTGATTGGACTGGTTTACTACCAGGGCGTCCACACATGGACAAGAGAATGACTCATGTCTTCAGCCAAATCTTTCCATGAAACTTTGTCACGAAATGGAGTATGAAACTCACCAAATGTAGGCAACACGACTCAAGCAGAAGTGTGTCCTTGTAATTAGATGGAAGAAGGGTGTAACCTAACAGCCACACAGAGGTCACCAGGAGGAAGCCTTCATGACGTGGATCCAGAGCACAAGATTAGCGACAACAACTCAACGATATGGCAGGATGTTGCCAGCACAAGCTTCCGAGATCAATTGGTTCTGCCGTCTGCTGACCCATGATTGTCAACATCTGGTTCCCTACTTGCCACAGGATGCCTGCCTTTCAAAAAGGACCATGGGTGGCTTGTGCTGCACAACCCACAGCTCCATTCACACACCCCATATCCAGCGTACACCCGGAGGAATAAGATCGGGATGCAAGTGGATTTGAGCCAAGTTTCATCAACTAAGACGGTCTACACTCCTTCAACATGCACAGCAGAAACCTTCCTGTTTATCTAATTTGGGAATCATGCGTACCAGACGTACACAAGGCGGTGGCTGGGCCGCAGCCCTCTCTACAATGGATGCTTGGATTCACTCGTTATGCCTAGTACGGCCACGAGGACCGTGCACCCCGTCCCCCCCAGCGTCGATTCACAGTCTCCTAGACCCAGGAATGGAGATAGAGGGTTTTGGAAAGGTAGGCGCCTAGGCAACATCCACACCAAGCACAGCCACAACAGCGATATCAAACAATCAACACAGAATTTTAAGGAAAATAAACACGCAAAATTAACACGCCATTTGCAGCAGAATAACAGAACTGAGAAAAGCAAGTAAAGATGAATACTTAGCTGGCTAGGCGAACAACTTGCACGTGCTGCCAGCTGGGTGGCTCGGGTTAATCCCGCTCCAGCGATTAGTTCGGCGTCAGTATTCCAGGACGTAGTGGGTTTCCGCCTGTCAAGTCTTCTCCCTATAAAAAGTCACAAAGTTCCGCTCAACAACACTGAGACTTGGCGGCTGTGACTCGCAAATAAATAAAGTCACTGCCTCTTCCCCTTCCGGCAGATCTTCCCCTCCTCACAAATGTCATCCAGTTCGAAGAGTTCCTTTGATATCTTCATAGGATGGCTAACACAGGCAACAAAGTCGCGAATGCAGTCACACTTCAAAACTTCACTCACCTTGACCACTAACATATATGCTTTCATATATACAGACACACAAATCCAGTATGTTACTGGTTAACTTGCTATCTTTTTATAAAATTACCGACCACACCTGTTTGTATTATCATGCTCATGCTTCGCATGCGTGCCTCGCACTTCCGGGAATAAACCATTTATTTATTTATTTTATTCAGGTTACGTAGATCTAGTCTAAGTGTAAGCCGGTGTAGCCCAACTGCGGTGAAGAAGCATGGTGTGTGCAACACCAACCTCAGCATGGGGTAGTAAACTACGTAACACGATGTTATATTTGTACTAGTTTACAAAAGTGGAGGTCGGTGACATTACTGACCTCACTTCTTTGCATTCTGACTGCGAACACTCATAGATTGCATGCACTTTTAGGGTTGTCACACAGTCAGCACCACCAGACTGCTGCACCTTGTGGATACGGTTTCATGAAAGTCTAGAGCAACTTGATAAAAACCACCGAGGCCAACTAGTAGTTGTTAAACTTTCATACCATGTATCGATGGACAAGTCACAGTCAAAATGGTCCTCAAGGTTAGTAGAAGCCACCGACACTACAGATGTAGTTACAAATTTCAGAAGCATTTGAATTGCGTGTGTTTATTAATTTTCACTTCAATGCACCAGTAAATTGTTGAGCGAGAAATATGCCTCCAAAGTGCGCATAATTTGCCAGCTGGCCACAGTCGCTTTCGCGACAGAGTCATGTTTTAAGATATTTGCTTTCACGAAGATAACACAATTCACTGCTATAACAGAATGATCAACATTCTCTTAGAGACAATAATGCAAGTAACGCTGTCAGACGTTTTGACCCCTCCTCTCAGACCTAGTACAACAATGGAGGGGGCTACGTAATATAACTGGTGGCGCGTAATGATACATGTACAGCTGGGCTGTAGCGAGAAACTGCAGCGGAAACGACGTCAGTACTGGCAGTAGGGCGAAGAGCATTATTACTTAGCATAATGCTGCATGTAACAGTTCCGAGGACATAGATAGTGCGGGCGACAAGAGAGCCGTCGATTCCGCATCCAGCCTTCCGAATGAAATCAACACTGTTGATTATGCGTCACTGCTTTACGCTAACGCGATCCGAAAACGCTCGGCATGCATCAAAACTTTGACAGTAAGCAACCGATATAGCGCACGGCACATGGATTCCGAGTTCAAAGAGTTGGCATATTTCCACATTCAAATTAGAACTGGTAAGCATTTTATGCAATATAGGAGGTTAGTCGGATTGTGTAGAGCATTGGCGATTCAAAATCTGATCAACTAGCAGTAAAGCGTATGTGGACAAAGTAGGTAAACCTGCTTGTATTAGCTGTCAATATTCGTCAGTTAATTGTATGTCTATACTGGAATATTGCTCGGTTTGTGTGTGTTAAGTACAATTACCTGTTCGATCGTCGCCTCACTGAAGTCGATAAATGTTTGTATATGGGAACATTATAGCCAAACTATGCACCTTCGGTTTGTCGTTATCAAGTGACGCAATGAGTAGTTAAACGTAAGAAGAAGCCAATATATAAACCAACCTCAACAATCAGGTTTGCTGCCGACAGCGTGAGAAGTCCATATTTGGAAACTCCAATGTGATGATGGTAAGCAACCTTGCCGCTGCGGAGGAGAAAGTGGCACACATCGCGCACATTTTGTGTGTCGCTCGGTCGACTGTAAGTGACGAAAAAAAGTAAAACATCACGATAAATGCGGACACGCACATGCTGTGTTACCTCGCCCATGTACAGAAAACCAAAAGTTCCTATCGACGGATACTTTGTTCCAATCGGTTCACGGCAGTTAGACAAACTCGGCTACTGAACGATGCGTTACGAATCACAATTCGGCCCTTTGTAAGTAACGTGTTGTTGTTTGTGCAAGTTAATTTTCCGTTTTGATTATGCCATGCTTACAAGGGAGTGAACTGTCAGTCCAAAGCATGAGAGTGGAAGTTTTGCGGCATCTTGCTCATTCCGAGCTACGCCGCGTGGGACTCGCAGTGCGAGCACGCAGCTTCTAAACTACGAGGCAGCGGGGTTTCCTGAACAAGTTCATCTCACCGAAACTCACGCCCGGTGCACGGAGCAATTTGCGCCATTACTCAGAGGGTGTCTGTCTGTATCACCTTCCATTGAGTCAGGAAAGCGCTCGGTAAGCGCTTTGTAATACTTTGTCTCTCATTCTCTCTGGTCGGGGTGCAGTCGAGTGAGTCATGTTCATCTCGAATTGCGTGTCACCCAACTGGTAGAGTTCCGCCAGCGTCCATAGACGGCGGCTAGGCTTAGCACAGGCGTAGCACATGATTGGTTCGAATTACGTACTCGCCGCGTGGGAACCACCATAGGCGAAGTACCCACCAGACCGCGTGCAACGAAGAGAAGGTCCATGACAGGGACCACCTTAAGCAAAAATGTGAACAGTTGCTTGGTGAACTAAACGGTAAACATTAATTTCGGAGGTGTAGATACCCGGTTTAATAGAATACCACCTGTGCCGTAAACGAGGAAGTTAGTACCACATAAAAGAGCGGTGCTTGCATTATCATATTAGTAAATGGTGGAACAGAGAGCTTCTTTAAATCTTTCTGTGGCCACCTGTCGTCAACTGGTAAAGCAAAGCGAAAGCGCAAGGCAACTGTTTAGCATGTCGACGGCAGCTGTTCCTTCTATGCCGATAGCAGGTATGAAAATACTTCCTGGGAAGTCCCCGCTCTTAGGTTAAATTCACATAAAACAAGTTGTTGCGCTGTTCATGGCCCTAGCAAGCAATTTAGGTACTGTATGTTGCAAACTGTTGAATTAGAGTAGAACAGGATTCCTGATGATCTACTCCAATAAAAGTCCGACAGGCAAAAGACATGGCATGCTTGGGGCTATTCATTTTAGTTTTGCACACTTTATGGTTCTATCTTATTGCTAACCAAATGTACAGAATCTTTTTGTTTTTCCACCCGTTTTTAACTTTGTCCACAAGTCAGCTTGTGTGACCTAACAGATGAACCGAGGATTGCAGCATAATGGAGTCATACACGCCCAATTTGTTAAGTGCAAGTAGCTCACGTAATGTAGATTGCTGAGCATACTCTTGACGCTCTTTTTACACAAGTACACAGATGCTCAGTAAAACTAACAGAACTTGGTCCAAGCTAAATATGTATTAACTAATAGTTTGAATATTCATTCAAGCCCATGTGTTTGGGTTTGTTGTAAGTCACCAAGGTTGCCATAAATCATAAGTAATCCAAGCTGAAGTATAACGCAAGTAGAAAACTGCAACTTTCGTTTCAGAATAGTACCTTCTATTCACTATGCAGTTCAAGAGGACCTAGTGGAACAAATTCGTCAGTTCGTAGCGACAGGCTACACCAGAGTAGTTGGAAAATCAGTGCAATAAACTTCTGCTCACGGGCAATTCTAACATTGGCGCGAGAGGTTCACTTCCTTTGAAATTGATCAACAATACTACAATAGGTTGCAAAATACATGAAATTAAATTCCCAGGCTTTTGAAGGCTTTATAGTATCAGGCGGTGTTTATTTCGCAGTGTATCGCGCAAACCCTTCATGGTAGGCTTCTTGTTAGCCAAACTGTAGAGCGACATTTCGTATGCCGAAATAGCCTCTCTTTGGAACAGCCATGAAGAATGCTTTGTTACGCATTCGAATTCACGAAGAGCAATGCCTAAGCGTTTGTATTCGTTTTGGTTTATCAAAAACTGTGGTGTAATTCTACAAGGAATTGTGGGAACAAATTTCTCTATGCCCGTCTTGGCAGCGATCCAGGTATAGGTCTTCAGTAACGTAATCAGGAACCGGTTTATTCAAGCGAATCAATCTGATCCGTCAACCTATGTAACGCTGTCAAGAGTGAGTGGGAAACTTCTATTATTTAGTCGACGTAGCAAAAGAAACAAAGCAGCTAACCAATGGAGGAGTCTTTGCACACATACTGTAGTGTTGCAGGATCTGCATTTAGAATCATCTGTACATGTAAGAAATTCGTTCCATTACACTGACTATGCGGAGTGCGATATTCAGCTGTCAACAGCTCTGATGAGAGCGCAGACCACGATATCCAAATGTTGGGCATTATCCGTGAGCTCCGTAATTCCACAAGCGAATCTTTAGTTGAAATTAAGTTTTCGGTATGTTACATGTAATGGGTTACTGAAAAAGAACGTATAGTGGCCGAACAACGCAACTAACCTCGTATGTCAATTCAGTAATCCTGCTAATAAGCAGCGTTGAAAGGATACACAATAAGTCTTTCTACTTTGGTATCACGATTGCATCAAATTATTGGCTGTCCTGGCTACATATCTGAGGAGAAGAAATGTTCGTGAACGCAAGCTCATTCAGAATTTTTGGAATGGGTATATATTTTAAGCCTAACGAAGCATTTTTTGGTTTTACCACAAGAAAGCACGCGTCAGTTAGCCAACGAGCCTCTCGCCAGATAGCGGTACGCATGGAATGATAGATACATAGTCATACGTGCTGATGTCGCTTCTCTCGCTAGCCCGTCAGTTTTGCCAGAAGTAACGTATCAATTCTGCATTTGGTCTGCATTGGTGTCAAATGGTATAACCCATAAACTTGTCTCCGTATCGATCTGCGTCTTACATGCCCCGTGTACTTTCTACCTGGTGGACTGTTGATGCTACCACAGCGACTGTTCGCTGAAGAACAGCTCTACTAACCGTCGGAAAACCGTGGTAGACCCTAATATTAACGGATTTAGAGCCGCCAATTCCGTATGCATGCTCAACATCCGTGAATCCATTGCCGCCATAATAGGTATGTTCACTCATAGACTCTGCTGCATTAACCAAATATGGGCATTATCACGATACGGGGGCTATTTTTACCCTATGTTAATTCATTTTGTGCTATGTGGTTATCACAGGGATGTGAAACCTCTCCACCACAACTGGGGCTTGCGTGTGCCTCCCCGCCAATCTGCTATTATACAAATTGCCCCAGATATGGTGTGGGTGACGAAACTGTGATGGATACAGCTCAAAGCATCCACTCCCAATGTTCTCCAAAGTAACAGTTAAAGGCGAACCCGGAAAGATTGGTTACATTCAACCACCACATATTTAGCTAAATGTGTTTTCGTATGGTTGGCGCTATCTGGTTCCGGATTCGGCTGTCACAGAGGCCTCCATAGGATAGCAACAGGATGCCTGCTCCTCAAG